CCTTCTAGATAGTATTCCATTGCTATATGCCTGAGCTTGTATCTCAGAATAATTAGAAGTTTTGACTTATACATCTTGGTATACAGTGTTTAAGTAAATTATAAATGTCTGAAAGTTTCCTGAAACTTTCTGTGTAGCTTTTTATCAGAGACAGACTGGAGTTTGGAAGGAGGGCTATGGACTGTGGTCCCAAGCCTTTGATTTTCAGCCCCTCATTTTTGGAATGAAAATTAGAATCTACTTTTCCAATTGCCCAGAAAATGATGGTATATTTTTATATTCTTCATCTTGAATAAGTAACTGTTTGTAATCATAGTCTTTGATACTTATTAAGTAGTATTTCATTCTTAAGGCATTTAGCTAAAAATTTCAAATAGACCCAATGTGTCCCTAAATATGATGGCATTCTCACTGACCTGTAGGAAAAGCTTAAAATACTATAATTAAAACTGAGAAGTTCCTATCACACAATGGGATGTTCTTCCAAGATGGTTTCTAAGTCAGATATCAGTATTTCTTTTCCTGTGATGGTAGCCCAGTCCCAAGGTGAATGTGATTTGCCCAGAGACCTGCCCCTGCCCCCATCTGCACAGTGCTCACTTAGAAATACACCCACAGAGTGGAATAGTGGTTAGGAGAGATTGTTGAGAATCTCTGTCATTCTCCATCATGCTCCCTTTCTTACAAAGAACTGATGACAAAGCTTGCTTGTCTCTGGTAATTAGCAGCCTGAGAATGTTATCTACATGTGTGATATATGTGTGAATAAGGAGGAATGGTAGGGACTACAAACACTCTCCAGATAAGTCTTTGTTTTGTTTTTCTGAAACAAAGTTGAAAACTATACCAGTCTTTTCTAAGCGTTATTGATTGCCAGCGAAGGTTTTGGAACTTACTAGGGGAACAGAATTGTCAGAGACCATCACTACAGAGATTCATTTTCTTTATTCCAAAGCTATCCTTTCACATTTTGAGGGTTCTTAGTAAATTATTATCTCTTTGTAAGAACTTCTTTTTTTTTTTTTTTTTTTTTTTTTTTTTTTTACTGATACCTAAAGTAGGCATTCCAGGGGTGCCTGGGTCACTCAGTCAGTTGAGTGTCCAACTTTGGCTCAGGTCATGATCTCATGATTCCTGAGTTCAAGCCACACATCAAGCTGTCTGCTGTCAGTGTAGAGCCTACTTCAGATTTTCTGTCCCTCTTTTTCTCTCCACCTCTCCCCTGCTTGCACTCTTTCAAAAATAAACATTGAATAAAATAATAAAGTAGGCATTCCAAAAGTACTTATTTTGTTTGTTTTAATAACTCCCATTAGGACTTTTGCTAATCTGGGGTGCCTGGGTAGCTCAGTCATTTGGGCGTCTGACTCTTGATTTTAGTTTAGGTCATGGTCCCAGGGTCATGGGTTCGAGCCCCGCATCATGCTCCGCGCTGTGAGCATGGACCCTGCTTGAGATTCTTTCTTTCTCTGCCCCTTCCCCACTCGCGCATGTGTGTGTGTATGTGTGCACACGCACGCATGCTCTCTTTCTAAATAAATATTTTTTAAAAAGACTTGTTTATTTGACATGCTTAACTTCATGATGTTTAGAAGAAGTTGCAGAAATTAATTTGTAGTAGGTACTTAAATCTTCATTCTTTAAATATACTTTAAATATGGCTCAGGTGCACTTATTTGCCTTTCGTTGTCTTCTGATCAGAATTTTTAAAAAATGGTGTTTCAAATAAGTTAAAATGGCCCCCGCCATTTGATTAGGAACTTTTATTTTTTTAAGATACTATTTTTCCTTCTACTTCATTAATCAAAAGTCACTGAGAATTCTAATCCATAATTTCTCACCTTTAGCCATACTGACATTTTAGACTGGGTAATTCTTTGTTGTAGGGGCTATCCTGTCCACTGTAGGGTGTCAGACAATGTTGCTCCCCTCCAGGAGGTACCAGTAGCACCAACCCAGACCAGATGTTTCCAGAGGGCAAAATTTTACCTTGTTGGGAGCAACTGTTCTGATATATGCGTAATACACGCTTCCAAAATCTTCAGTGGATGTGTAGCATGGGTTGTGTATGCTTTTCTTTTTAATCTGATTCTTTCCTATTCTGTTTATATTTTTTAAATGACTATAGGGTTTTTTTTTCTATTCAAGAAACTTTTAAAGAAAGAGAATATGAAAGCCTTCTGTGCCCACCATCAAGCCAGACCCTAATATTTTGAGGGGTGTACACAGTAATTGATCCATATGAGATATTTTTTTTTGTTATTGAACCTTCCAGATTTACACAAGACACTGTGTGTGTTAAAAAAAAAAATTTAATATATAGATCATTTTTTACCTTAAAAAGTGTTAAGTGTTACTTAAGAAGAATCATGGTTTAGAGGATGAGAAAGGAAAACCCTACGTTTAAGTAATAAAAAGGTTTGTTAAGGGCTTTCCTAAAATGCGTGTTTCATAGGTGTCTGCGCTTAAGGACTCCCTTAATTAAGGTAAAACGTTTTTAGCGGAAGAATACTGAACATTTGTAGAATTTGAGTAAAAAGTCTAGTCACTCTTGAAAAATAGAAAAAACTGTGCAATTTAGAATCTCCCCAAAGGGACAAACTTCCATACTTTGCTGGGTGAAATACTCCTGCATTTCTAGACCTGAGCTGCACAGGAACGAAGACCTTAGACCTAAAGTGAAACCACAGCCTGGCCTTGAGATGAGCCTGCGGCCACTGTGACAGTGTCCCCAGCCAGGTTCTGCACATCTCTGTGAGGGTTAACAGGGAAGGGGAATGGAAGTTAAGTAATTAACAGCTGGAGAAGGCATTCCATTCAAGTGTTCACACCTTCTTTACCTGTCCTCCTCTCCTAGGCCTTTAAGGAGGCTTTAGCTACAGCGCACATTCCTTCTCTATCCCAGCAGAGAACAGCCCTGCAGTTCCTCAAAAAATAAAAGCAGACAGACATCAGTGAATGCTGTTACACTAGCCTGAGGACAGACTTTTTGTTCCCTTGTGTCTCACACAGCTTTCCATTGGCTCCTGCTCTCCCACACCTCTATAGGATTAAGAAGTAAAACATTAGATTTAAGACTTGCTCACCAGGTTCCAACATTTTAGAACTAGGGGAAATTTTGAGAAATAAAAGTAACTTTAGGGACCCAAAAAGGTATAATTTATAGAGTAGATAATAAATGTAGAAGCTTATTACCCTAGCAACTGGAACTAATTTATAATAAGGAGTCAAAGATAGTTGAAATTCATGGATGATGGAGGCTCTATGGAGTACTATTATGTAGTACTCAACATCTTTGGTAAAATTTGGCCTCTCAGACTTTACATAGTATTCTGAATCCCCATCTGTCAAGATGTTTTTCTTTGACTTTTTTTTTTTTTTAATGTTTATTTATTTTTGAAAGAGAGAGAGAGAGAGACCAAGTGTGAGCTGGGGAGGGCAGAGTGAGGGAGACACAGAATCCGAAACAGGCTCTAGGCTCCGAGCTGTCAGCACCTGGGGCTTGAACCCGAGAACCATGAGATCATGACCTGAACCAAAGTCAGATGTTCAACCGACTGAGCCACCCAGGCACCCCTTCTTTGACTTATTTATTGCCATTCATTCATTCCTTCAACAAACATTTGTTGCATATCTACTATGCACTAGACACTACAAATTATCTCCCTTTTTACCTTTCTTTACTTTTTTTTTTTTTTTTTTGGTAGCATGGGGGTTGGAATTGTTACCTCCAGGTTCTTTTCTGTCAGTCAAAAGTTATCAGTCTTTTAGAGCGAGGAAGTCAGAGTTGCCTGCAGTGTCAGTGTCCTCCAGAGCCAAGCAGAAGTTATACATGTTTATCTTTCTAGCACATTCATGAATATTCTCTCCTCTATCTATCTCCCTGGCAGCCAGTTAGTTCTGAGTCTTAATCTACTATAATGGAAACTTGGGGGAAAAGAATGAGAATTGAAAAGTATTTCCTCCTCCCCCCACCCCCAACTTTTCTACTAAATTGCTACAACCCTGTGTATTTGGGGGCTGGAGAACAAGAAGTCATATTTTACTAATTCTTACCAATGAATCCTTTTTATAATTATCACTTAACACCATGGTAGCCCCTGCAAAACCAAGGTAAGAAAGGTCTTAGGAGCTGGAAAGGGTGGAGCATTTGAAAGACAGAAGTTTTCAGTTCATTTGTTCACAGATGATTATTGAGGTCCTACCATGTACCAGGATGATGTGCCTAATACAGGGGTGCACTGATCTAGAGCAACCCCATCCCTTCACTTAATTGGGCTTCTCGTCTAATAGAGAAATTAGACCTTGAGTAAGAGCATAAAAACATTTGCCTTTTCCACAGTGTTGTGTGGGGCTCAGCTTTGGAGTGCCCTACAGAAGCATCTCTCCAGGCTGCCAACCCTGTTCAGTAAACATGAGGATGAGTAAGAGAATCTTAGGGCAAGGAGAAACGTCCATCTGCATTTTGGTGTGAATGGAATTATGGCATTCACCTTACACTGCTAGTTATTCTTCAAAAATATTACTCAAAGAAGCAAGAATTAAAGTTAAAAGTGTATATAATAAGAGGGTAAAGAGTGAAATATAGATTCTGTCTCAGAGACTATTTAAATATCTAGAAGATATTCAGCAGGGAGGCATGCCAGCCAGACAGAACCTGTAGCACAAAAGAGGAAGAGCTTTTTAGCAAATTCACTAATAACTGTTTCTTGTGAACTGTAATCATTTGCTAGTTTGAAATGAAGATGGTTCCTCTTAAACTATTGAGCAGAAGTGACTACTGATACTTAAGGGTAGAAAAATGGAAATAAGAGTGTGGTGAGTTATAGGCATACTTGCTAGATTCCTTCAATGATTTGGTGATTTAAATGCTATGAATTTAAATGCTCAAGAGGGCTTGCCTATAAAATGGATGTCACTTGAAAACAGTTAAGTCAGTCATCAGATCATGGTATGTCAAATTTGTAATTTGAGGTGTTTCTCTTTTTCCCTCACTTTAGCTTGTCAAAATCCCTAAAAATGACCCCCCCAATGAAGTGCATACCTTTAACTTCTATTTGTCAAATGTGGGTAAGGACAACCCTCAGGGCAGTTTTGACTGCATCCAGCAAACATTTTCCAGGTAAGTACATGTCAAGGTATGCTGAAGGGAGAATACTTTTTCTTTGAGAGGTTTTTTTTTTTTTTTTTAATTAAACAATAAAATCTATAATAGCCATTCCATAAATGTTTATTGAATTGAATTATAGAGCTCATTTATTAAGAAATATTGAGCACCTATGTGCTACAAATTACATTTGTCACTGTGGATACAGTCATAAAAATTTTAAGATTCTTGCTCTCAGAGATTTTTTAAGGTATAGATTTTTTATCTATAAAACATTTTTTAATTCAAAACAAGTTTAAGCATTTTTTTAAAGTTTGTATTCACTGTATTTAAATAAGAGTGGCTTATAGTAATATTCAAGGGTAAAGGAGGGGAAAAAAATAAATACATATCCCTTTCTTTCTTGCCTGCACAAGCCTTGTTTTAAGATAGATTTTCAAACTTTTTTATGCTGCAACATAATGGAAACTAGAAATTAACCCCAGGATAGCAGTCACTTCTAATTAAAAAGGGGGGGGGGGGCAGGGAGGAAGACAAGAATATATACCCATATATATCCCAGGGTACCATGGAACCCTTATCTACTCAGGTCTTCTGTAAACAATAAGCTACTTGTTTGACTCTTCTTTGCTATGGTTGTTTCTGATTTAAGAATGTGCCCCTTGAGGAGGGGGAGTTTGTTCTGCCCATGGATAAAGACAAGGCCTTAGAACCCGCAACATCCCGAGAACATTGAAATTGGCCCAAAGTGCCCCCAGGACATCATCCATGCCTATCTCTCCTCTGTACAGTACTTGAAACTGTGTAAGCGCTTGCTGTGCGTGGGAGAGAGGAAAAGAAAGCTATGTTCCAGGGGAGCATAGGAGTCAGAGATACAAAATAAGACACTTCACTGAAAGAGTTCTAAATTTCTCTTCCCATTTAGGGTACTAAATAACTTTCTATTCTATCTTAATATGCGATTTTCCCTGAGTATATGTTAATTTTGCTATATAAAAGTTGCCCACCTCAAACATATATTCTTTGGTATAAATTGTATATGTTACAAATTATCTAGATCTTTCTTTACTGTCCACTGTGATAGCTACTGGCTGTATGTAGCTATTTACATTTCAATTTATAAAAATGAAATAAAATCGACATTTTAGTTCTTTGCTTACATTTACCACATATTATAACTCAATAGCCACATGGCTCGTGGCTATCATAGTAGACAGCACAGATACAGAACATTGTCAACATTGCAGAAAGTGCTCTAGGACAGCATTGTAAAAGATGACAGAAGCATCAAGTATGAGGGCCCTGAGTGATTGTATAGTTCAGTCCCTTCATTCCACAGATGACGATTTTACAGTCAGACAGGTGGTTAGTTGATGACAAGGCTGAATGAGAACTGGGTTCTCCTGGTCCAGTGTCCTTTACATACCATAAGGCGCACTGATTTCTAATGGTGGTGCTATCACCTATTATGCTTGTCTTTAGAGAATTTTATTATAGTAAGAACACTTTGACCTCAAATTCAGCTAAATGTCCCATTAGGAATTCTGAGCAACAATCCCCTCTTCAAAACCAGTGATAGCATCATAGGTAATATGGTTTCTCCCTCAGATCATAAATACCCTGTGTATTTATTTCTACCTTGCTTGTTTGGAGAATTGAGTTAAAGTCACTTACAAAATGCTACATGATGCAGCAAGGGAAATGAAACAGTTATTGTGAGAAAATTGGGTCAAATACATTAGTATGATCCAAATGTGTTTTATAAAGTATGATCCAACTATGAAAGTGTTTAAGGTGCTTTATAAAATGGTCTTCTATGGGTATAAATTGAAATTTGCCACTATGAAAACAAAAGCACTGAAGCTTTCAGTTCTCACCCTGGCAAGCATACTTTTTTATAATTTTGTTCCACCTTTTCTGTTGAATTGAATTTTTATTTTTCCCATGAATCTTGTCTCTCTTGTAGTTGTGCAGCCTCCTCTAGGGCAGAGGCTTCCTTATACCCCTTTTCTAGGCTTACTATGCTGGCTGAGCTCAAACTAAATGCTATAAGTAGATGTTCACAAAATAGATACTAACTAATCTCCTTTCTTTGTTTTTACATCTCCTTGAACCTCACTTTAATCATATCTAAAATGAGGAAATCCCAAAGTCAAAATTACCTTTAAAAAATTCCTTAAATCTCTCCATTCACAGGCCTCTTGAACAGTAATACACACTCTATTACAGGAAACAGTGAGCTAGGCTAGAGAAAGACTCTAGGAATGTTTACATGCATATGTCAAAGTAATTAAACTTTTAAGGTAGCTCAGTTGAAAAGGGATGAGTGGACAGTTCTACAAGAGAGTACTCGTTCTTGCCTGCAGGGTTTAGCTCAACGGTGTTTTCATGTAATCATCTGGTTCTTACTTGGTATAAGCTGTAACTTCATCATGATTGGCAGTAGGTTCAGCTTATTCTCACTGTGTAAATTACTTAAATTATTTGGTGGGAGATATTGAAATCCAAACTTCCTGTCACCAGATCTTCATACTGTAGTTTTTCTTCTCACTTATTCTTCTTCCCACTTTCTCTGAGAGTTAAACCTTCCTCCCTCCTTCCCTTCCCTTCACTGGTCTTTCAGCATTCAGACATGTGCTAGTCTGTCTCATAAAAAAGAAAATAAGAGCAAAAACAACCACCCTCCCACTCACTGTGTACCTGAAATCTGACTTCATTCCACACCATTCAGTGGAAACATGCACCCCCCAACAGGGCCTTGACCACTGGAGAAGAATCTATTGGATGCTTATTGGTTCCTATTGTTCTAGACTCATTGCCAGCATGTTACACTGTAGACCACTCTGGTTCTTGAAACATGCTATTCCAATGGCTTCCATGACACATTGTTCTTAGAGTTTCCCTCTACCTCTTCAGTTATACTTTTTCAGCCTCCTGTGGTCATCTTTTCATCTTCCTCTTATTTTAAATGTTAGTGTTCTTCACAGTTGGTTCCCTACTGAGACCTCGCCTTATTTCTTCAAAGTCATCATGTCCAACACTGAACTCATTTTCTCTCTTGTAGTTCTACTCCAGTGCCTCAATAAATAGCAGCTCCACACACCTAGTAGCCTAGGTATGATCTTTAACTTCTGTCTCTACCTGTGGCTAATCACTTATCAGATCCTGTCAACTCTGCTTCTCCTCACTGTCTGGACTCTCTTTACTGTTCTGCATTCACACTGCCCTACACTGGTTCAAGTTCTCACTTCTTGCCAGTAATCCTTCAGTAGACTTCTAACTGGTCTCCTGCATTCACTTTTGTGCCCCCTACCTCCCAATCTGTTCTTCATCCAGATTGATCTTTTTACAGTACAAATGAGATATTTTCTCTCCCCTGTTTTCAGCCTCTGGTTTTCTTGGAATAAAATCCAAAATCTATGCCATGACCTCCAAAGCCCTATATGACGTACTTCTCATGCCCTCTTCAGACTCATCTCTAATTGTCCTTTCCAACTCCCTTTGGCCAAACTGCAGACTTCCTCCACACTTCCCCCTGGGCCTGCACAGGTTGGTTATACTCCCAGAAAACTTCTGTCCTCCCTGCCCCTCCCTCTCCTTTCTAAAGGCATCACTTCCTTTTGAAAGCCTCCACCTTACCCACAATCCTGATGAAGTACCTTCCCGGGGTTCCCTGTCTCTCCCCCCACCCCGCCCCCGTTCCCAGCATCTATCACACTGTGTCATAATTTCTAGTGTGCTCATCCTTGTCACACATTAGAGAGCTCCTTGAAGGAGGGACCACATCTGTCTTAGTCCCTGTCTCTTTCTGTCCCTCACACATTGCCTGGCATGCAGTCCCTGCCTAAAAAATATTTATGAGATGAAGGAACTGTTTTGTTTTGTTTTTTTAAATAGCATTTGTACAGTTACTCACAATTTATAAAAATTTTATTAATCCTATTTCTTGACATCATAACAAATCTGCTTCCAAGTAAGTTTGGAAATAGACTATCAGAGCTATAGTGACATTTTTATTACTTCTATATTCCAGTCTGTTTTAAGGCCATAGCAATTTCTTTTTAAAATACCAGTACAACTGTTACCATGATCCCCTAATTTTGCCATAATACTTTGAAACAGAGCCATCTTCTAGGCCAGTGTTAATATGCATGATTTTTAAATAAAAGTTTTCAAAAAAATATTTGCAAAAGCCTCTTGTCCAGAATGTTCTTCAATATTTGCCATACAAATAAGTCATCTTCTATAGAGATTTAACAAAATGGTAAATATGAAGGATACAAATGTTTAGGATCTTTGGGCTATTAAGAAATCCCAGTGTTGAACAATATTTTGGTCTTAAAATTAATTATCTTACTGAAAATAAAAAGCATTACAGTAGGTCTGTGTCTTCTAGTTAGTTCTAAAGCATGCATATTATGGTTTCTATAGGGGTAAACTAAACATTTTTCGTATCAGTGGTAGATAATTTTTTTTAAAAATGACAGAACTACAGTGCTCATTGAGACTCTGGTCTTCAACATAAATACTAATGTTTTTTCAGAATTTTACAGATTTGGTCTCTGAGAGTTCATTTTACCTGTTCTATTCAGATTATGAAAAAAAAGTGATATGAAATGAAGGAGAGAAATTTAAATATTTTAAATTTCAACATCTTAAGTTATTAATATTAGTTATTTCCAGATTGCAAAGCTATTATTTGGGCTGCTGATTTTAGGGTTATACAGCTCTCACTTGCTTTTAGTGTACAAAATGAGGGATGTCTCTAACAAAGCCACTGTCTTACTTGACAGCTCTGGAGCCTCCCAGCTCAATTGCCTGGGATTCATACAAGATAAAATTACAGTGTGTGCAACGAATGACTCGTATCAGATGACACGAGAAAGAATGACCCAGGCAGAGGAGGAATCCCGCAACCGAAGCACAAAAGTTATCAAACCCGGCGGACCATATGTAGGTTTGTATAGATATCGTTCTCCTTCTCATTGAATTATTGGAATAATTCAAGACCACTGTAGGTAAATACTGGTAATATTAATTTAATTTTAACATAGAATTCGTTTCTAGAACATTTTAAATAACATAGTCAAAAATCATCTCTTCTCTTTACACTGATAGTAAGTTCAACAGGTAGAAAATCCTGAATCCTTTGTTAGCTGTTTGTTATTATTTCACAATACTGGGATTTGGCCATGTTACTTTTGAGGTTATAATAGTGGTACCATTGTGTTTTCTTTGACACTGGGTGATGTCATTTCAGTGATGGACAGTATAGGTCTTGTTTTGCATTGTAGGGTTATTTTTACAGTAAAATCCATTGGTAGAATTTCAGAGGATCTTTTGCACAAGGAATTTTTATTGCAAAATATAAAATGTGCTTATAGCAAAGCATTAGGGTGATGCCTTTTTGGTACCTCAGTTGTGATGTCGTTTATGGATTCTCATCCTCATGTATCCATTAATTAAGAGTCTGCCCCAGCCCCATCATCTTTATCATCAGCTCACACAAATATCCATCAGAATGAAGGGAAGTAGGACCAGACCAGCAAGATGAATCTCTCCTTTATGAGCAGTGACCCTAACAATTTTAAAGAGTTGATTGACAGTGACTATTAACAGTAATAGGGAGAATTATCAGGAGTGAAGAAGAGCTCTTTGAGGCTTTGGTCAGTTTAATGACATAAGTCACCATACATAAATGATGAAAGAATATTAATTTGGAAATGTAAGTGCACACAAAAAGAGTCTCTTGAATAACCAAATTCTTTAATTAACATCTTTCCATGGTTTGGTTTAATTTTACTTCTGCATTTTCCCATTGCTGACCCAGCTACAGTACATTCAGCTTTGAGAAGCTCCACTGGTGTCTTTAATAAGTATTTCTTTGGAACACAGCCAGTGCTCTTGGGACTTGGTGCTTAGCTTAGATACATTTAGTTTGGTTTAACAACAATTCATGGACTCCCCAGGTATCTGTACCCATGGGGCCCATTCCCAACCCACTAAGTTACCAGCAGTGAGATTTTTCACCTTCCCTTTCCTGCTGAGTGAGGTAACAACTTCCAACTTCCTTTCTTTCTCTTTATGCTCACAAGTAACTTAATTAACTTTCTCTGTAGTAGGCTAAATCTTAAATTGTTTTAAAAACACACACAATCTGGCACACTTAAGTACAAACTGTGAAATATTTTTCTACTCTGTCCAATACCACCATTTATAAACAGTGAGACAAATTGGTGTGTTTGACAAAGGAAAAGAAGACTGAAGCCATCAAAATGATTTTTTTCCCCTCTCAATGGAACTAGCTGAAAAACTTTACCTTGATTTGTTCCAAAGTCTGCAAGTAAGCAGTGATTGTACCTTTCCATAGAATTATCCTTGGGTGTCCCCTCTGTTTGTGTGTTTGTTTGTTTTGATAGGGTCAGATACAGTTTATCTGCACAGCATGTTACACAGCAGAATTTTCAACACATAAAATCACATAAACCATACCCTTCAAGGAATTTTAGAACTTGCAGGGTTTCTTATAGGCATTACAGATAACTTACATACATTTTTTAGGAGTGACTACATAAAATTTGAGGTTATCTAAGCTTAAATTTGAACCAGATTACATCCATGCCATTTTCAGACAAGCTGGCCTCCCTCTGCACACACATATGTTTGCCCCACAGAGCCCTGTAGTGATATCTGCCAGCCTACGTGCTCCACTCTGCTTGTCCTCGGTGCCCCAGTGGCCCGCCAGCACAGTACAGTGTTCTTCTCTGGTCTTAAATCTTGTCATTAACCTCCTCAGCTTTTTACTCTCTGGGTCAAATAACCTCAGCTCCTTTTAACTTTTCTTAAGATGGCCTGTATCCCAACTCTTTAATTATTTTTATTGCTCTCCTCTGCACTGCCTCCATTTCCTCACCTCAGAATTCAAAACTTTTTAATTTTGTACTCTTCTTTGTTAATGGTATATTTTGACCTTTTTCTTTTAATCTTATTCATTGCTAGTCCTTTACCATGTTTCTTTCTTTTAGGCAGCTCAGTTTGTGTCTTCCTGCCTTTTTCAGTACCTCCAAACTGACTCATTCATTACTTTGGAATGCTCATCATTCACCCTTCAATACTAACAGTACCCAGTACTTACGGAGTACTTGCTATGCAGAGACACTGGTTAGCACTTTACATGTAGTTACTCATCTAGATCTCAAAATCACCCCATAAGGGAAGTTATCATTGCCTCTCCATTTTACGTATCACATAGTTAAAATCAACAAATATCAAATACGGGTTTGGCCTCTTAACACGTTGTGTTATTTCCTTTAGTTCATAATTGAATATATCATATAAAATGATACCAGAAGCTCACCTCTGCCACCTTAGAAGTACCTGCAGAACAAGGCTTCTTTCAACAGCGTCAGCCTGGGTGGAGGACAAATAGGAATAATGCTAGTCTCATTGAGGGGCTGTGGTGGCACAGTGCCAGGACAGGCCTCTGGCAGCTGAATTGGGCCACAAGCTCAGTGTGAGAGGGTGAAGACTGCCCCTAGGGGTCACCTGGCCTAGTCACCCAAAAATATAAGCTTTTGCGACCCTCTTGTAGACTGAGCAAAACCAAAATCTATTTTGCCTGGAGAGGAGCAGGAGAGGCTTTAACCTAGAAAACATCATTAGTATTTCTTCAGAATATTTCCACTTCTAGTCATGACATTTATATCAGTGGTGAGCATTGTTGTGTTGTCATAATCCTTTCCCTTTGTTTAAAAAAAACAAAATCACTAATCACTGCTTCCATTTTACTAATAAGTCTGCTCACTGACTTGTACCTAAATTCTGAAATGTTATTGAATTGTAAATTGGTAATACATGCTAATACTTATTTAGGTTTATAAAATAACCCAACCAATCTAATTTCTAGGATTCTTTTTCCAATTTTCCCAACTTCTGCCTCATCCTGCTTATTTTTGATGATGTAGTACATGTTTGAATGACCTTCGACAAATCATTTAACATCTGTGGACCTTAATTTTCTCAGTTATTAGATAAGGGGTATTTGAACTGGATAACATCGAAAGTCCTTTGTAATTATAACATTTTTGACCATTACGAATATATATTTGAATAATAAACCTTTGGAAGAAGTGATCATAAATGCCAAATGTGGAGATGGTTTCCATTGCATTGGCTTATGTATTTAACCATGACAGTCACCCCGTCATCAAGGTCCTGCCAGTGTTTTTAAAGCATTGGGTCCGTGTTGCCAGGGCTTCTGATCAGGTTCCACAGAACAGAAAAACAACTACAGAAGATGGCAGTCCCTGCTCTCTTTCTGATGTACTATTTTAACACCTTCCTTTCAGATTGTTTACTCACAGCCGTTAGACGAAGGGATAAATACTTTCACCATCTCATATTGAATGGAGAAGTTAGAAGTAGACTCCTTGTTATGAAACAGCAGTTCAGATATAGTCCCAGATTACCCAACTCTATCAGACCCACTGCTGCTGTTTATATAAGGAGCCTAGGGAATTGATTAGCAGTTGGGTCTGGGAAGAGAATTAAGTTCTCCCATGGGCTTTATTAAAAGAGCTTTTCTGAAGCAAATGTAAAGAAATAAAGCCTTTCTTCTGCCCACTTTGAACTGACATTTTCTTGCTTTTCTTTTTAGCATCTCAATTCTGTAACTACTTAGAGTACTGATGTTTTCTTCATCTGTAGCCTGTCCTACCTTGAACTAGAGAACTCCTTCCTGGTTAAATAGGCACAGACTGATGGGGCGGCAGTCTTTGTGTGAAACTCAGTAGCCTAGTGTGGCTCTGTTGTTCTTTTAGCATTTAAAAGAAATGGGTTACCCCACAGGTGGCTGTTCAAAGGGAAAACAGGGCATCTGGCTGGCTCAGTCAGTAGACCATGGAACACTCAGGGTCCTGGGTTCAAGTCCCATTTTGGGCATAAAGCTTACATTAAAAAAAATAACAAGTAAAAAATAAATAAAGGAAAAATGAGATAAAGGTGAAGTGAGTGTACTAGGGGTAGGAGATTCATGTACCAGTGACAGCCTAGCATTAGGCCCCAGGTGAGACTCCACTGCTGTCATATCCCAGACCAGATTCTAATTTTTGGTCAAACATCATACCCATGCTCCTCTTAGAGAGCCTCCCTTATTTGTCTGCCCTATGCTTACTTCAGGGAGGGGCAGGGGCAAACTCAGGAAACCTTGGGGCTTTCTGGAGACTGAGAATCGGAGGTGGGTCAGACATACAGAGGAGGTAGGGCAGCCTGGAAAATACTGGTAGTACTGTCACTTTTTGTTTTTATTTGCCTTCCTTGCTGGCTTGAATTCATTCTAAATGACCAATCATGGTGTGTGTGAGCCCAGCTAAAAAACATTCTCTGTCCACTCACCTCCCCAGAGAAGAGTGGTGGGCAGGGCTCCATAGTCAGCTTTGTTTGGTGAAGTATAAGCTAAACAGGTTACAAAGGGTAGGGTAGGAGTGTGGGATTTATAGCACTTCCTAAACTTTTGTGACCCTGGATTTTTTTCCCCACAAATTCCTATTCAAATTTCAAGGAACAGTAGTGTTTGTTAATACAATTATAACTAAGAAGTGGTAGATTGGAAGGTTTATGTTTGCTGTTTTAGAAATTTTAGTGTGTCTTCATATGCTAGCATCCTGGCAGTGTGGGAAAATACAGACCACATTGATTCCGGCTTCTCTGCTGTCTACTTGCTCTCTTGCTGTCATTCACATTGACATTTTGCTAGTCATCAAATACTGAATCAAGGTCTGCTAGTGGACAAAGCAGCCACAGCCCTGCCCATATGGAGTTTACAGCCTAAGATGAAACAATGGCAGACATTGGGCATTTGTTCATAATGCCTTTCCCACAAAGAAGTACATGTAGGAAAACTTAGGTACTAATTAAGAACAGAACCTTCCACATGTTAAGTGAGCACTTTACCGTTTGAGCTTATCCCATTGAAAGTCTCAGTTTTCTCATCTGTGAGTGGGACCATGCCTGTTTCATCAGGTTACTGTATTGTGAGATCTAATGAGTGTAAAGGTCTTAATATAGTGCTCCCCCACCACATAATTGTTTCATGATAAATATTAGCTCCCTGCCCATCTGACATTGATCTATCTCTAAGAAAAATACAGAAACCAAATCTAAATCTATCTCCAAAACTCTAATTGCACCTTAATAGCTTTTCTTATCACTGAGTAGTGCTCCTTTAATGTTGAGTTCTCTTGTTGTGCAATATTTTGATCTGATATTTACAATTTGTTATGTCCAGGCAGTAGGGAAATACAAAAGCCAGTGAGATCATTCACCCTTTCTCCTCTATTCTACGTAGGATTGTGTCAAACTAACAGCCCCTCTGGCCAGGCCTCAGGACCCCTGCATGGACAGAGTTACTATCAGTACTGCTCCTGCTCCATTAAGCTGTTTTCACCCCAGACTGCAGCACTTAAGAGACTGCTTTTGCTTATCTGCTGTTTCTAGTTGCTAGTCTTGTTCCTAATGCAGTTGTCCTACATTATATGTTATTAATATCCGCCCCCCAACCACATGGCATAGAGTTGGAGGTTCAGAGTGTATGAAAGGTGCTATAAGAGTCCACCTCAAAAATGATAAAATGAGGGTCTTACACAGCAGTTTAATTCTAATTTTTTCTTCAACAAGGAATTGTTACCAGGTTTTGTTTTTCTAGAAGGAAACATTTGCCACTTCTCAGTGTTAAGTTTAAGCAGAAAGTGGGTTAATTACCAAATGGCACTCGCCTGGCAGGAATGATGGGAAGGCCTCATTTTTACCATTTTCCATTCCTCTAATTCACCTGTGTAGCTTCAGCCCTGCAGAGGAGGTATCTGCTTGTCTGGCCCTCTGAGATTTTTTGTTGGTTTTGGTTTTGTCTTTTGACCCCTAAAATTTGTTATGGCCTATTGAAAAGGAGTATGTCTTGTGGTTGCCCTTGTGAATGTTGACCCCAAATTATGTCTGACTCCCCTCTTTGTGGTCCCTGAATCTGTGAGATTAAGATAATTTTTCAGCTCAGCCAAAACTGTGTTCTTAGTGAGATACAACAGGTATTGCTCACATTTCACATTTGTTATATTCATTTCTGCCAAAGAAATGACATATAATATGTACATATAAGGTCAGTAAATAGCATGGGTAAGCATGGAAATTACTTTATTTGCACTTAACATGAACTACCTACAACCTTAAAATTCCCAACCACTTGCTACAGTTTGTGTCACTAATTAATATCCATATGTAGCTAAATGGACAGAATGATTCTATATACATATTTATTCCAATAAATGCTTCTATCAAGACAATTTCAAATCCATAATCTTAGGCCATTTATTCAAAAAGCTTTCTGTTTGCATATCTCTTTAATGTAAAAACTGAAACAAAGCGGCCTATAATTCCCTCCAGAAATGAAGAAGTACCTGAATCAGAGTTGAGGAAACTGAGATGCTCATTATAATCTTACCCACAAATGTGTAACAATGTCATTTCCACTGGACTTTAGGGAAAAGAGTGCAAATTCGGAAAGCGCCTCAAGCTGTTTCAGATGCAGTGCCTGAGAGGAAACGGTCAACCCCCATGAATCCTGCAAATACGATTCGAAAGACTCACGGAGGCAGCAGTGTTTCTCAGCGTCCATATAGGGACAGGGTGATTCACTTACTGGCACTGAAGGCTTACAAGAAACCGGAGCTCCTGGCTCGACTGCAGAAAGATGGTGTCAATCAGAAAGACAAGAACTCCCTTGGAGCAATTCTGCAACAGGTGAGACATGCAGAGAGAGTTCCTTCTGTGCGCCTTCTTGTTGAGAAGTTCATTTCAGAAGGCTTGTTGTTAGTATTATTTAAGGTAGAGAAATTTCAGGATCATTTTGATCAATGTATATGAATTATAACTCTTGAATATTAAGCCATCTTGTTTTAAAAACACCTAATGAAAAGCTCATTGAAATGTGGTCATTTATAGTAGGTCTTATAAGCTAGAAGCTTAAAAAAGGCTTTAAAAATGAAGTTTCAAGTCATTATCTTCATTTGGGTTAAACAAATTTTGCTCTGAAATTCCATTATAAAAGAAGTTTTTTTAAGCTTATTTATTTTTGAGAGAGAGAGAGAGAGAGAGAGAGAGGGAATGCACATGCAGGGGAGAGGGAGAGAGAGAAAATCTCAAGTAGACTCAGCACTGGCAGCGCAGAGCCCAGTGCGGGGCTTGAACTCATGAAGTGTGAGATCATGACCTGAGCCAAAATCAAGAGTCAGATGCCTAACCGACAGAGCCACCTGGGCACCCCAAAAAGGTAAGAAGTTTTTGTTGGCTGATTTTGGTCTTGGGTCACTAAAGTACTGCTGTAATTTTTATTGTTATATAGGTGAAGTTGTACAGTTTATTCTTATCAGTCTTTGGTTTGTATAAGCTAGAATATGTTTACCTACTAAATAGTTTCAAATGTGTCTTGCCCTGCATGCTTTTTACTCTACCTTTTTTTGCCACTGAGTGTGCTGAGATCATTCAGTTGTCTTTATTAAGGGATATGAATATGTAAAGTATTACCTTTGATCAATTACCTTATAATCACAAGCTTAAGTATTAAAGTAGGTTGTAGATTTTGTTGATGTCACTAGTTTGTCAAACTATAACTTGCTATATTTTTCATATTGATTTGGGGTCATAAATATTGATTACTGTTCAAATCAAAGAATTTTTTTTCTAAAGCAGTAACATTTCCACAGTTCTTAAATTTCACCATTAAAAAAAATAAACCTATAGGTTTTCATTTATTATTCAAAGAATGACACTTTTAAGTCCCTTTTTTTCATCTATTCTCTTACATTCAAGTCATGATACTAAATATTATGAAAGAATAAAGCCAAAATCTCCAATTCTAGGTTAATCAACCCCCAGTGTATCTTGGACATTCTCAAGGATCTTATTAAATTGTTTGAACACTTTTTGGAAACACTTAATTTAAATCCATATGTCACATAGCAGTTTTAAGAGCTCAAAAGACAGGGTGAAAGAATGAATGAGTGTCAGAGTGTGTATGTGTTTTAATTTTTTTTTGGTGGGGGGAAGGAGGGAGGTTCAGGCTACATATCACAAAATACCTGATGACTGAATCTCCAGGGAGGTTGTAAATTACCTCCTAAGTTTATACGATAAAATGTAAAATGATGGCCGAGGCAATTCATTCACACAGAGGGTATTATTGATGTCAGTAGTTATGTGATTCTTTATATGTATATAGACATAAGTACATTAAAATGTAGGTATGCTTAATTCAGCAGCAAATGGGACATGAGTGTCTTTATGTTAAATCATTTGGCAGAATCTAGAGCATAATCTTAACTGCACATTGTAATCTTCTGGGGAGCTTTTAAAAAATGCCAGTGTCTGCACTCTAACCCAGACCAACTAAATGGAGCAACTGAATGGATACTGACCATTAATTGAGAGGGGGAGGGATGGCAAAGGAACAGGTGTATGGAGGGGCACTAGGATTTCTGTTCAGGAGATGTCTGTTAGCCATAACCCAATAGTGATAGATGTTTAGTAGTTACATATAAGGCCATGGTGTTGAGACAACAATTGGAGGTAGAATTATAAATTAGGAGATAGCAGTATATCAATTGGCTATTGAAAGCCTTATAGCTGGCTCAGTTGGAGGAGCATGGGATTCTTGATCTCAAGGTCATGAGTTCCAGGCCCATGTTTGTTGTAGAGATGAAAGAAAGCAAAGAAGAAAGCCCTAAGGCTGAATGAAATAATGATGGTAATGAAGAATACAAGGCAGACAATAGGTCCTAAGCACTCCAGCATATAGAAGAGTGCACAAAAAAGACAAAAAGGCAGAAGGAGGAAAGCAGGAGAAGGTCCCATTATGAGGACCTGAGGATAGTCTGTAGTCCTGAGGATAATAGGAAAAAGCTAAGCATTGTATTTTTCCACTTTGAGAAATCTGGTTTTGTGTCATCTTGTTTGCAAATTTGAATCTTAAGCCTACCATTTTCTACTTTATAACAGTATTAATGTTAGATTAATGTTAAGCTGTAAAAAAACCATAAACTATCATAGTATATTTGATAGTACTTTAAAAAGACACAGAAAGAAGTCAATTTATTAAAAAGAGCATTTTTGGGACACCTGGGTGGCTCAGTTGGTTGGCTGAGTGTCTGACTTCAGCTCAGGTCATGGTCTCGTAGTTTGCAAGTTTGAGCCCCACATCAGGCTGTCTGCTGTCAGCACAGAGCCTGCTTTGGATCCTCTGTCCCCCTTTTTCTCTGTCCCTCCCTGCTCACTTTCTCTCTCTCTCTCTCAAAATAAATAAACTTAAAAAAAAAAAAAATTTCAGTAGGAAATAACTGGAGGATTACCTTTCCACCAGCCTTAAACATGACTCTTGCTTTGGCACCTGAATCTGTACATTTTTATTGTTGATGGAATCTAGGCCTGGACACTGTACGAATTGCAGTTAAGCAATAAGAAGAGATTACACTTGAGAATAAACTAGCTGACTAATAACAGTAATTTGGGGGTTATTTTGCTGTACGTTTCCATTTATTGGTTTTCGGGAATTTCAAGGACTTTGAATAAGTGGTTCTTCAGGAGATCTGGCAACTACAAGAAGCAAGCTTAGCAAGCCAAGGAAATGACAGACAAGGGCATCAGAATTGATACTATTTATGGAGATAATTTCTGCTGATTGCTGAAGGGAAAGTTTATAACCCAACATTTGGGCACTATTTGGTTTGTACGTAATACAAATGATCAAAGATTTTTACTGTGATTCACAAGTAACGGGAGTTAATGGCCAGAAGTAAATAATGAAGTTGTTAACCTAACTCCTTTGACTAGAAAAACTTGACTTAAAAATATATATATAAATAAATAAATCTTCCTCCACTTTTTGCCTCAGTAGGCTGTTTGAATAGAAATGTCATGTGGTGGACATTCAGGGAAAAAATATTTAGCTGCATATATAAAGTTTTAATTCCCCAATGAAGTCAAACAGCATTTATTGAGACCTGTCATATGCAAAACTGGCAGTCCCTTTGTAGCCAACTGGTACAGTTGTTTTCAGTGTAAATGCAAAATGTTGCCTGTTTTGGGTTAGGAAATAGCAAAAACGGCTAATGCTCTGTTTTCACACTATGTGCCAGGTAGCCAATCTGAATCCTAAGGACCTCTCGTATACCTTAAAGGATTATGTTTTTAAAGAACTTCAAAAAGACTGGCCTGGATACAATGAAATCGACAGACGGTCATTACAGTCAGTGCTCTCGAGGTAAATTTTTCTTCTTTGAAACCGATCAAGTAAGTGATAATATTAGTTATTGTTATTTTAGTGTTGAGAAGGAAAAGAGAAGCAAGAGTAAGCTTTTTATCATGAACATTTGAAAATTCTCTTCATAACTGGAACATATGTATGTATCCTTTACAGAAAATTAAATCCATCTCAGAATGCTGCCAGCACCAGCCGTTCAGAATCTCCTGTATGTTCTAGTAGAGATGGTGCATCTTCTCCTCAGGTATTCCTAAAATTACATAACCATAGCCCCTATGTGAACTCTAGGGACCAGCTAGTTCACGTGGTCTGATTTATGCATGAGAGAAATGAGGCCCAGAGAAGCCGCACAGCTTGCCTACCCAAAGTCACATGGCCAGCTCATGGCAGAGCTCTGTTTAGAATTCAGGTCCTGGCTCACAGCCCACACCTCTTTTTCACTACACAGCACTGCTTGTCAAAGTGCTTAATATCTACTCTGCTTTTCTATATTTGAAGTTTCCATTTTATTATAAGATTATCTACTTTTTTATTTGGTCACTACCTAGAAGACTTACCCAGTCCTGTATTCAGTCTCAGATTATATTGAAAATTGGAGGCATTTAATACTACCTGAAACATGTTCCAGAAAAATATTCTTAAGGAAAAATGTTTATAAAATAAGCAAATAAAAAATTCTGTCCTTTTCTTAAAATTTTTTTTTTTCAACGTTTATTTTTTTTATTTTTGGGACAGAGAGAGACAGAGCATGAACGGGGGAGGGGCAGAGAGAGAGGGAGACACAGAATCGGAAACAGGCTCCAGGCTCTGAGCCATCAGCCCAGAGCCTGACGCGGGGCTCGAACTCACGGACCGCAAGATCGTGACCTGGCTGAAGTCGGACGCCTAACCGACTGCGCCACCCAGGCGCCCCTGTCCTTTTCATACATGTGTGTCCTTAACGTATTTTTCAATTAAATCCCAGTCAGAATATTCCAATTAGACCTCACTCCTTCCAGCTTAAAATTTCCCCCAAAAGATTCTTTATTTCCCTGATTTGGGGATTGACAGTGGGACAAACCTATCTACCCCAGTGCTGCTCACACAGTGCTCCTCTCTCTGGACCCTCCTCCCAAGGATTCGGGAGACAGGACAGATGTGTGGACAACAGTAAGCTTGCTGTGGGCAAAAGGCTACTCACATGTCAAAAACTGTTAGAAACCTATTGTGAGGAACAGAGGGAGAACAAAATAAAAGCAATTTTGTCCTTGCATGTACATTGTCTGTAGAATCCTCACTTTTAATGCCAACTGCCATGAAGTTATTTATACTGTAATCTAATTAATTATGTAATGGCTGCCAAATCAATGGTGCTAAATTGGAAACAGAATAATTAATGGGATGATTAACTGTTATTTTTTTTCAAGGTGAAGCTTAGGCCACATTATTACATTGGATGTATGCTTTGTACTTTTCGACTATCTGAATTCCCTCTTTAATTTAAATATTGTTATTGCTGGATTGGGACAGTATTAGCATAATTTTTTAAATTTCTGAAATACTAATTCCATATCATTTTTATGGACTAGTTATTAAAACTTACCTTCCAATCCGATGAAGAGATATATTTAGAGGGGAAAAAAAACTGAATAGCATTTCAGCAATAATAGAGATACTTAGAGAAATTACTTTGAAGTGCTGGCTGTTCCCATTTTAAGACAGATAAAATAATAAATGGCAGCCAAAATATTCATAAGTAGAGCATGTTAGCACATTAGAGGAGGTTAAATAAGTATAGGCTTTTGTTGCCCTTTACCTACCCTTCTTAGTCCTCACCGAGTGAAATGGTACAAACTGCTTTCTCCTTCCTCTCTTTTACTATAACTAGGTCAGCCACAGCCCTCAGAGGAAGAAGGTTACCTCTTCTTAGTACTCTCCTAAGTGGTACAGTCCACATAAATGGCATAGTCTCTCCAAGAACTTAGGGTGGGCTATATGATCAGAAAGTATAAGTACAGTTGTTCATATGGTAGCCAATGATGCACATATTGAGTTTTAATGCAAAGTGGCTCGGTTTTTTTTCTGCCCCTCCCCAACAGAAACGGCTTTTAGATTCAGATTTCATTGATCCTTTAATGAATAAGAAAGCTCGAATATCTCACCTGACAAATAGAGTGCCGCCAACATTAAATGGTCATTTGAATGCCACGAGTGAAAAATCTGCTGCAGGCCTCCTGCCGCCTCCTGCAGCTGCTGCCATCCCTACCCCTCCACCACTGCCTTCAACCCACCTGCCCGTTTCCAACCCTCCTCAGACTGTAAATTCTAACTCCAATTCCCCTAGCACTCCAGAAGGCCGGGGGACTCAAGACCTACCTGTTGACAGTTTTAGTCAAAACAGTAGTATCTATGAGGACCAGCAAGACAAATATACCTCTAGGACTTCTCTGGAAACCTTACCCCCTGGTTCAGTTCTACTAAAGTGTCCAAAGCCTATGGAAGAAACCCATTCAATGTCTCACAAAAAGTCCAAAAAGAAGTCTAAAAAACACAAGGAAAAGGACCAAATTAAAAAGCATGACATTGAGATGACTGAAGAAAAGGAAGAGGACCTTAAAAGAGAAGAAGAGGAAATTGCCAAGCTGAACAACTCCAGTCCAGATTCCAATGAAGGTACACTTTACATTTGTAAAACCAACATGTGTTAAATGATCGGGCAGAGCAGACTATCGTGAGGGACATTATGCTGTTTATATAATTAGTAATGCTTTTTTATCAAATGACCTTGTGTTAATAATCTTAGTGTTGTGCTTTGGAGCAGATTTTTCTTTTCTTATATTTAACATCAGTAATTTTTGGTCTCTTTTTAGCCAACTATTAAACATAGTTTCTAAATTTGATAATAACATGGTAACATTTGAAAATGACTGTTATCCTCTAGAGACCCCCTCTTAAAAGGTAGACTTTGTTGCTCTTTTCCATAACTGTCAGGGTATTGCACAACCTCAACGTGACCTATTCTCTGCCATTCTTGAACTAATTTTACCAGACACACAATTAGCGACAAAAATAATTCTTTTCCTTCTTTGCCAGAGAAACAGGGTCACCCCTGCCTTAATTAATGTTAACACAGGGGAAATGTCAAATTCTTTATAAAACCAGCAAGGTAAGATTGCATATGCAGATCCATAACATCATCTTTATTCAGAGGGAAAGCAATTTGTCTTATGCAAGGCTGTTGGCAATTTGCTTGTTAGAGCTTAAGAAATTATTTTTTCAATTTTGAGAACACTGTTTTAGTAAACTAGCATTAGTAAAATTTAACCATTTCAAGCTTTTGAAAACTTAAAAAGCCAGATAACCTAAAGATGCAAAGAAGCTTAAAATAATGCTTTACTTCTAAAGAAAAACTAATCATAGGAAGACCACTTACCTAAGGTGTAATGATTTTTAACACCTAGTAACAAAATTATATTTTTCTTATTTAAAAAAAAAAAGTTGTGCTCTAAACCTTAATGTCCCCCAAACAGCACATCCAAGATTCAAGCCCCTCATTTAGCATTGCTGCCAATTTTAAACTCAGCATAACCAAAGCAAAATTCTCGAGGAAAATACGACTTTAGAAAAGTTACTTTAATGAAGAGGTTAAAGAGTGTTGCCTTTCTGTAATTTGCCCATAATACTGGAAGTCTGTAATTCTTAGATTTAACTGACCATTTTTTACCACATGAGAGGAGCTTTGCAGCATAGTAAAATGCAGTGCCTTCACTGACCTGGATTGACTATACTGCACATCACAGCTTATCTGTTGAAATATTTAGATCAGTGTGATACTGTATAGTGACCCAAAAGGTAGGTGTAAGCTTTTTCCCTCAAACACTGTTGTACTTAAATTTGCCAAGTCAGGAAGAGGCAAGCAGTAATAACACCTTGTGTTCAGAGTTAGTATACCTGGGTATATCCCAGTCCACACACTTCCAACGCTGAGATGGTGATCCTGAGTCAGGCTAGTGCTGGGAGGATTGGATCCCAGTATGTTGAGATGTACAGCAAAGTTTGAGTGTTCTCAGAGTTGGAGACTTGAAGAAACAGACTGAGTCTCTGAATCCTTCACTAAGGATGTAGTACCTTTCAAAGCCATTTGAGATTATCACAAACTGAGGATAGATCCAGACCCACATCCCCTGAATCTGTTGGAATTTATCTAGGTCTATGGCAAAGAAGAAGCCAGGTTTACATGCACTCAATGCCTTTTCCTTTAAGACTCAGGCTATTATTAAAAAAAAAAAAAAAAAAAAAAAAAAAAAAAAAAAAAAAAAAGGAGTGGGGGGGAGTCTCAAAGTCTACACACACACACACACACACATATAACAATAAGGCCACAGAGTTTGCATAATTTATTTCGTATACTTGGTCTTTTAAAATGTTGAACTAAGGAATTATCAAATATTCCCTTTTGTTTTATATTGAACATGTCCATTTTGCCAGCAGGCAGGGTTAGGATGTGAGTTATTAATTTAATTCTAGTTTGAATGATAAAAAGTTACCCTAATAAAAAGTCTAAACTTACCCTCAGGAACTGTTGGTTGTGTTCAAACAAATAGAATCCTGAGTGAGGGATTTTACACATTTTCATAGCATAGCCATGAATGACTGGCACTTTATTTGTCTTTTTTTTTTTAAACAAATCTGTGTAGTAATATGAGATTTAGAGATAAGAGACCAGAGGAGTGTACATCGGTGTTCAGTAATGACTTATTTTAAATTACTTCAAAACCCATATGGGAAAACTTCCTACCCCTTCCACTGTCTGCATACAAAAAGGGTAGCAATAAAATACAGTGACTGAAGCGGTCTGCTACCTGACTTCATTGTCTCATCTGCCTTGTTCGAATCCTATGAAAAGTAGATGTTGATGTAAAATTTGTATCTTCCATTGTGTGGCTGCATCTGCCAGCACAGTCTTTGAATTGCTGGGCAGATGCCACAACTGTTATTGAAAGAATAGAAGACTGACCTTGGGTTAAGACGGAATTCCTTTATTGTGCAGACACTGCGGTAGCCAGGGCGCTTTCAATGCCTGGCGTCAGTTCTGCTGGCCCTGCTCACAGGGCCTCTGTTGTTCGTGTGCAATTGTATTCCTTGCTCACTGTTGCTTATTGAGATGGAAGAATAGAATTTGAGGAAGAGTGTTCCAGATGTTTCTGATCTATTTTAGAATTATAGGCATTTTATAACCATACTGTTGAGTGAAAGCTTGATTTTTTTTTTTTTTTCTTTGTAGGAGTTAAAGAGGGCTGCACTGCCTCCATGGAGCCTTCTTCAACAATTGAACTCCCAGATTATTTGATGTAAGTTCAGATGTCTGCCAATGGGAGAGAACTGTTTAATTTTAGAAAGTTTGCAAATTCTTTTCCCATAATTTGCAAATGAGAAAAGAAGTTCCAGAAATAGAGTCCCAGAGCCACCCCTGCATTTGAAAGGCTGCCATTAAGCCTGCTCGTCCCAAATCCACCCCTGTCTGCCTAAGCAGGTTGTGTCTCCCCCAGTGCTGAGTTCTGTTCTGTGGCCTTTAAGTATAGAGAAGCCTGTCCTTTGTTCTGTGGCCAGGTCAGGCATTTGATTGTGGAAGATTTCAGGGGTCTGACTCTTCAAAGCTGACAGTCTATCAATGCACATTCACTTGTTGACCCAAAGAGAGAGTTTATTACTGATAAAGTGCTTAAATCTCCACAGTTAATACAAAGTAGAGATAGACTGATTTTCATTTAAATAAAGTTCTGCCATGGAATTAATTTTAAAAGGAGAGAAGAGTAAAATCAGATCATTTCACTTTAGTACCAGTTATAATGTTTTTCTTGTTATGACAACAAGTTGCTAAACGCTGAGCTGGGGACATTTTTGTAACTGGTTATCTCAAAAATTATAACTTGTAGACATAATTCTAGCTTTTTTATAGACTCAAAGGCTTCTGTAAGAAGAAATAATTAAGTTGCAAGAGCCTGGAAAAATGGAGAGTGGAAGAACAAACAGATTTGACTGCAGATAGCTTTGAAAATGAACAAGTGTGCAAAATAATTTGAATGTAGATTGGAAAATGGACTCTGAGCTGTATGAACGTTTTTTCTCTATTAGCATCTCATGGTGGACAAAGTTAAACTATGCTGTTTAGCATTCCGTGTACCACAAAATGTTGATTTCCAGAGTAGAGAATATACTTAAAATGTGTTACTTTTGCTTAACAGTAGTGTGAAAGCTATACTTATTGGGGAATGATACAGCATGAAACCATAATGCTGGTTATCATCTCTTGACTAAAAAGAACCCAAGAAACCATACCAAGCACTCTCTCATCGGAGGCGGTATTTGGTTTTAGAGTTCGGGGCGTGGGGGAACTTTGAAAAGTGGCCACCACCAAGCTGGCCCAGGGAGGGTTGCTTGGGGGACAGCATAGCGTCTGGCTCCACTGATGAGGGGGTTCGCCTCTCCTACTGCAAACCCACTTCTCCTTAAAAGTCTTGCGGAAGTTGGCCCCCTCCGTTGACAACTGCAGGACTGTGCTCTCATTCTCTTGCGGTGGATTTTGAATTCCTCTTTTTTGTAATAGTGATGTAAACTAGTTCTATGTGACAGAATCGTGTGGGGAGGCTAAAAAAGAATTCTAACCCTTTCCTCATGCACTCAGGATGTTGCTGTGCTTTGTCAACTTAACCAGTTAATTCTATATTTAAAAACTGGTTTTTAACATCCTAATCTAAGGGATGGTCGCTGCATCTGCCTCAGTGCATTTTGGCACATTTGTCACATTTCTGGCTCTCAAAAATCACAAAAGTATGTAACCTGTGTAATCGTTTGCTTAATTTATTAAAGTAAAAGCAATTTATTTTGTCACAAAACTGTCTTATATGATTATAGCCAATTTTCTTAAAATGGTGAGAAAGCATGGATTTTCAGAAAAATCACTGCAATTACAGAACTTAAGCTGTTTCTTAAGAAAACCAAAAAGACATACAATAAAACCTTAATGATCAGCCTCTGAATAATTCATACCTAAACCACAATATCCCTAATTTTTATATAATAAGAATACTTTTGTTACTTGTGGCTGTGAAATATCCAAACCCTTTAAAATTTTATTCCATCATTACATTTAGAGCCAGCTGTAGAACCATAATAATTTTTGTTAAAAATAGTGAAATGCCTTTCATTAAAGTGCCAATATAACCAAATAATCTTCTATAATAGCAACACAACTGTTGGCCAGATTGGTGTTTTTCCCTAAGGAAATTATTAAATAAAATACTGAGGGTGTAGCCTTGTGTGTGATCTTGAGAAAGCAGGATATTTCATAGAACACATTAAGCCAGAGTTTCTCGAGCAGTGTAGCCATTTTGCTTACCTGCACTTGTCCCCAGGAAGCTCTTTCCTGCCCTGGGCTTCCTCCGCTGTGACATCAGGACAGCCCTGCGTCACTGCTTGGCTCACCACACTCTTCTTACATCAGAGACATCAGCATACCAGTGCTGTCTCCCTCACACTTAGAAACCGAACCTCCACAGAGGCTAACTTGGCATGAATAAAAATATTAATGAGGACATTAAGTGCTCAGTTGCATCGCTTTTCTCACATTGCCAACCAGACATTTGTGCCATCTCATTTTAAATAAAACTGGTAAGGTTATCTAAAACCATTTTTGTGAAGGACTGAACTCCAAGGTTTTCCCACAGTTAAGAATATCTGTGCATGTCCGGGAGTGCTGAAGCACCTGCCCCTGATGGAGATTGCTATGGAATGTCAGTTTTTATCTCAGAAAGTCAAGGGAACTTAGCATTCCATGGCAGGAACGCAGAGTACAGAGACCCAGGCCAGCCCCTGGTGTGATCCCACTTCCCAGAGCCACAAACAAATAATACTGTGTTTTAATATTAAAATGATGTTTTAATTTGCTTACCACTGAATAAACTGACACGCTGGGAAAATGGCCTTCACTCACCAGTTCCCTAGAGGTATTTACATCCTAAAGTAAAACAGATTCGTGAAGAAACTAAGTTAGAATAATACTGTGACACTGACGTTCAGTTACATAGAATATGACACTTTAGGGCTGAAAAGACCTAGAGAGATATGCCCTTTTTTCTTTTTTTTTTTTTTTTCTTCCAGTCTGTCATTTCAAAAGAAGAAAATTATTCATTCCCTTTTGTATTCTATACATTTGCCTAGTCAAACATGGGAGGAAAGAGGCAGAGGGAACAAGCCTCAGGTGCCTTACTGGCAGCAGGTGTAAACGGCCAAAAGACAGACCTCCTCTTAGCCGCACAACTAGAGAGAGCTTTGACTTCAGCGTTTACTTAGTGACTGGGTGACAATCTCCTGGTTTCATGTTACCCACCGAGTCCTTCTGTTTCCGTGTGACTCGGAACAGATGGGTTGGCCTCTGCCGCTAGAGTGGTGGTGAATTATTTTGGATAGAGAAAGGTTTAGGAAGCTAAATCTGTATAAGCCTTGTTTTCTAGTCACACTTCAATTCCATTGCCACCGTGTTCTTCTCACATTTAACTTTCCTTCACTGAACATCTTAAGCTCTCCTGTGGGATAATTTCACCTGAAAGTTCTTTGAAGGAGTGACATGGCAGCAAACAGTGGCAGGGCAACTTTCAATCTAGGGAAACATGCTTGGATACAGTTTCTAAATATTTGTTTTAAATGTCAGACTTGTGCATTATGTTTATTCTGTAGTCTGTCTCCATTTATATATTTTTTTCTTTTTTCTTATTAGAAAATACATTGCTATCGTCTCCTATGAGCAACGCCAGAATTACAAGGATGACTTCAATGCTGAATATGATGAATACAGGGCCTTGCATGCCAGGATGGAGACTGTAGCTAGACGATTTATCAAACTTGATGCACAACGAAAGCGGCTTTCTCCGGGCTCAAAAGAGTATCAGGTAAACATGTTTGCTCCTAGACAGGCTCACTTCCATATTTTACCTTCTTTGTTCTCTACCCAGTCCACCCCCAGGCATCCCACTGGCCTTTGGAGAATGTCCTCTGGCAAACCAGCCTCTCTGCAGCTTTTGGTCTTCATTGAAAATTAGCTAGGAAACTAAATACAGTATTTGAAATAGTTCTCTAAAATAAGTAAACACAACGAACTGTATTTCTGTCAGTGGAAAATAACTTTATATAACATAATATGTATAAAATATTGTAATAGAGGCTTATATACTTACTGTAACATAATAGAGTATCAAGGTAAAAAGCAAACACAACTAAATAGGAAAAAAGTTGATTTGGAATTCATTGAAATATTTAACTGCATTGCCAACTCAGACCATAGCTGTTAGATCTTGTGCTGTTCCAAAAATTGCTATTTCAAGTCTATGTTTTTTTAGAAAAAAACTCAATCTGGCCTAGAATAGGGAAGATATAGACATAAGATATAAAAAGGGTTTAATACCACAGAGATTTGGGGCTTAAGTGAAGAAAAGCTTGGTGTTTCCAGCTATTCCAAAGACTGACATTTGTTAACAGATACTAAGCCATTTTCCCTTCCTTACTTTAATTAGTAGTATTACCATAGCTGGCAAACCAGTAAAAGCCAGACCCACATACTGGTTGTTCTTTCTCATAGTTATAAGCAAAAGGATTAATACAAATGAATGTGTCCCTCCTTATGTAGGCCAGATAAATTTGTCACAATTCACAACCATAGACGATGCCTTCATTCTGGCCTAGTAACTGTTGTTCTGACAGGGACCCACATGAGAGAACGTGAATGGGTTTCCCACAATTGGCAAAACAACCTGAGAGCATCTGTGCTCTAAAGACCATGCCTTCCATTAGTGGGTCTTAATCTTTAAACAGGCTGCCTAGAGTTATGGAAGACTTTGCCAGAGGAATTTGTGTTTGAGGGTGCAAGAGGTCATTGATATGGTGGGGTGTTTTTTTCTTTCTTTCTTTCTTTTTTTTTTTTTTTTTTTTTTTTAACATGTAGTTATTTACCAGTGTACCATGATTATATTTAAACTAAAATGTAATTCCAAGGATTGCTTAGTGGTTAGGAGCAGGCTACGGAGCTAAACTGCCAGGGTTTGATTCCCAGCTCTACCATTGAATATTTGTGTGGCCTTGGGCAAATTACCTAACTTTCTTCAGAATTCCCATCCATAAAATAAAGTGATTAGATAGAGTTGTGCAGAATAAATGTAAGTATTTGGAAACTGCTTAGTCCATAGTACATAAGGTTAGATAAGTATTAGCCATCTTCCCTAGCCACCCAATTTCCCTCCTGAGAGGCAATCAATGGTACTGGTTTCCAGTGCATTCTTTCAGAGGTTTGTGTGTGTAAGATGTATATACACATGTATATACACAAGCAAATTCACCTGTGTGCTATATGTAATTGAATCTAAGATGTCATCAGTTACAATATGTACTATTGTCTTCTGTTCCAATAAGTTAAACTGTCACACATTATTTGATTGCATTAAAATGAGAGGAAACGTGCATCTTAGAAGGAAGTTGTTAGAATGTATTATATTTCTTCTCAAATGATATCAAACTGTATAAGTCATTCTGCACTTTGCTTTTTTTCACTAAACAATATAATGCATCTTAGAGAACTTTATATAAGTACATGAAGCACTTACCCCTTTTAATGGCCTTTTCGTATTCCTTTGTATGGATTAATGGACATTTAAATTTTCTTTACTGTCTTTTGCTTTACAAACGGTACTGCAGCAAATAACCTTCTACGTGCAGCATTTCACTCAGGAGCAAGCAAATCTGATAGAGAGGTATAAGTGCTGAGTCAGTTTTGCATTTGCTATTTTGATAGCAGTTGCCAATTGCCTTCTTTAAAGAGCGTACCAATTTACATTCCCATCATCAGTATTTCCCCACCCTTGCTGAATGTGTGTTAGCTGTTTATATTGCCAAAAAAAAAAAAAAAAATTGTTCCCTTCTGATTTTAATTTTTAATTTTGTAGAATGTTCATGAAGAAGTCTTACAAGAATATCAGAAGATCAAGCAGGTAGGAATCATCACTGTGGGTTTCTGACCCGTAGTTGGGGCAGTATTATAAATTCTGCAACCTAATTCCTCCCGTCTGTTTCCTCTGCAGTCCAGTCCCAATTATCATGAAGAAAAATACAGATGCGAGTATCTTCATAACAAGCTGGCTCACATCAAAAGACTAATAGGTGAATTTGACCAACAGCAAGCAGAGTCATGGCACTAGATCTCTGCTTGGACCAGAAGATGTGAATAAACTTAAGCTTATTTATTTAAAATTCCAAATGAGTTGCTCTAAGATGCTAAAAAAATGAAACTTTGCTTGTTGAAAGTTTCAGTATTAGTAAACTTGAGTTATTTACTTTTTTTTTTTTTTTTTTTTTTTTTTTTTTTCCATTTTACTTTGCTTCCCTGCATTTTTGAAGCTGCTTTTTCTGGTCCTTCTTCCCATGCCTACCCCACCCCCAAGACTTATGTTTGTCAATAGAAATAATTTTTTTTAGATATTGGAGATCCAGTGTCTATACTTCAAATCAGCTCTTTTCCTTAAAAACTTATGTTTGTCATTAGAAATGATTTTTTTTAAGATATTGGGGATCCAATGTCCATACTTCAAAGTTATGTGTGTTTAAAAAAAAAACAGTAATGTGCAAGGTGAAATGCTTTTGGATAAACATAAGCCTATTTTCTGACCTTTCTTAACGCAAACTCTTTGCCTTAAATGGTAGAATATTTAGAAATTTGCACAAAATACAAAAAAAAATTTTAAAACATTGTTTTGGAGGGTTAAGAAATAGAAAGGTGTATGTGTATGTGTATAAATATGCACACATATGTACATACAGGCTGACTTGATCTAGAACAGTAAATCCGCCCTGCAAGTTAACCCCCCATTGCAATGGTTGCCTTAAGGTGTTTGCTAGTTGTGTACATAGTGTGGTTAATCATTAGCTACACTACTTCCCACTTGGTTAGAGCAATGGGAAGTATACTGTGGCCTACCAGCGTCTGAAAGCGTGTGCTCGACCAGTATGTGTGCAGAGGTGGTGTGGATGTGAGCGTGCATGGAGGAAAAAAGCTGCTACTCTCAGTAGGCCAAACGCTCAGGTTAAACAACAGACGAGTGTTACTGTAGGGTTTTTTGTTTTTGTTTTTGTTTTTTTTTTCTGTCAAATTGCTACTTCTATCGTGGAAGACAAAAGCATTTCCATTTCAACAGTTTGTCAGCTTTATTAATGTTGGGCAAAATCAATATGTTATGAAAATGAAACAGATCTATAGTTTTGGGGCAAAATTATAAAATTAAACATGTAGGTAACCTATTTATATACTGCTATAAAGTATTTTTTGAAGAGAGATATGCAAAGAAGCTATTACCTACATGAAATGTATATTTAAAGATTTTTTTTCATCCTGGGAGCCAGGAATATAAAAAAGAGCAGATATATTTAACCATAACATACTGTGATTCATCAAACAGCACAAACTTTCATTTCATGGAGTTTATCTGTTGACGTTGATTTAAACTATCATTTGTTTTATCATGTGGGAACATAAGTTATGTGGTCAAAAATATAAGGATTTTGAACTAATGTTGATTCAAGTTGTGTTGTCTTATCGTATTGTCTTTTCAAAGTGCTGCCAGTTGAAAAGGGAAGCATTATGTTTACAAATCTGTTTTGAAATGTTTGCCAAAATTTTGGTAGTATCTTTAATAAAGATGTTTGTCTCCAGCATCCAAAAAATAAATAAATAAATAAGTAACTTTGTTGTGTATCGGTATAAACCAGAAAATGTTGGTATCTAGAGAACCTGAGAGCATGTAGATGAACTTTTCTCTTTGAATTCTTCTAAAACATTAACTGGAAAGAGTAGATAATATAGAAACGTATGCAGAAGTAAAAGACGATACAAAGACTGATACAAGGCCCTGTACACTGTAACTCTGTAACATTACTACAGGAATTTGATTTTTCTGTAGCACAGACGTCCTAGAGAATTGGTTTCTTTTAGCATTGAGATCCCTGGTGCTCTTCCTTTTACCTCAGAATTGGTACAATCATTACTAAATGTTCATTGATTTCAAATTTTGAGTTGAAAAAAGATAGGAAATGGGAATAAATGTGTTCCTTATATTATGGTGGAGTCTCCTGAGGGATTTGTCTATAGGTAATGACCTCACTGGTGTCATTTCTTGGACATCTTGGCCTTTTAATCAAAGATTGCTGCTATTTGCTATGAGCAGTGTTTTTCAAAAGCAAGGTACTTGGACAAACACTTGCATCACCCAAATTAGAATCTCTGGGTATAGGGCCCAGGTATCCACATTTTCCTAAATATGCTCCAGGTGACTTTTGCAAGTCAAAGTGTGAGGACCATTGGTTTAGTAATGGCACTAAACCTTTAGGTCTCTAAATCTCATGCCTATCCATGTCAGCAGGTACAAATCACTCTTCCCTCTACATGATAGGAGGCATCCTCTCAATTGCTTCACTGCCAACTCTTATTTCAGATCTTGTTTACGAACAAGCCTTCCCTGGTTGTTAGCCCTTGGAGCTCCCACCTACCCACAACAGCACATCTTCTGGTTTACAAATTGGGTGATAATGGAAGCTGGAGATAGGTCATGAAAATCCAGCGTTGCACAGTCACAGACCTGACCACCTACCTATAAAAGCCTTAATTTAGATGTTTGTTATATACATTGGGCAGATCCTTGCAAAATGTGTGTTTGTCGGCGCAAATTTGAGCTATAAATCTCTGAATCTGCTATTTTGAAGATGGCCATGAGCCTAGTAAAATATTTATAGTCATCCTTTATCTCCTACTGCAAGATTTTTAGATTCCCTCAAATAATTGCTACAGGAATGAGTGGCCACTTAGTACCAGTTACTCTAGTGGAAAGATTTATTTAGTTGTTTTGAGAGACACAGTAAGTATAAAACAGCATTATCAAGATGAGAGAATGAGGGGTGTGTGTATGTGTGTGTGTGCGTGTGTGTGCATTTGTCACATTTCATCTAAAATAATTTGAAGCACTTTTGGAAATTTTTACCAACACCAGATTAACTCCAGATTGAATGAGCAGCTGACTGAGTACAAACCAAAAGGAACAGTCACTAGATGTGGTTTTGTTTTTTAAGCAGAGGTTCTGTTTCCTATCTATCTTGTTATTTATTTCCCTTGGAATACTTGGGGGTAACTTCCAACTCTTGAGTTTGATGGTGGTTCAGTACTTGCTCTCACAAAAATAATTGGTGTGGTCAGTTTATATCATTGCTCCATGCACAGTGACTGTAAAAATTCAGTATTCATTTCCTTTCATCTCTGATCTTTTAAACTTAATAGTTTTCTTTTCCCTTAAAGCATTTCACCTCATGACGTAAAACAAATGCATACTTGCATGTTGGAAGCAAGATGCTGAAATGGTTAGACACAAGTGGTCCATCAGTTCCAACACTCTCCTTGGTTGCCTTACCCCTTCCACTAGTGCATTCTCTGCTTCTGGAACTTGGCTGAAACTCTTTAGCCAGTTCACTGTATTTCTGGCAGTGTGAGTGTTGAGTCATGTATGCGTGGTATATGCCCTTACTACTATTGAAGTTCTTATGGTTTATTACTTGCCTAAGTGTTATTGAATCCTTTTCTTACGTGTACCGGATGGGGGGGGAAATTCTAGCCAGCATTTTGAGGAACTTTTTGTGAAAGAATATTAACTGACACTACTAAATGAAGGCAACAGAAGATGTTATCATTGTTCTTTGTAACCCAAAACTAAACAAGGATGTGAGGCTCATTTCTAAGTATTTCTGTGTATGTGTGTGTGTGTGTGTGTGTACACACACACACACGCACACACACACGTAACACACTGTTTCTCAGTTGTTCCACCCAAACCATGTTAGGACCCTCAAAGGTAAAATGTCACAAGGACTTTTCAGCAGCTGTGGTGGTCCCTTTTGTTCTACACCAATTTCAGTTCAATAAAAATGTTAACTTTGCAATTCTGGGAATTGTTTTTCCTTTGTCTCCTTTCAAGGCTCTTAAATTTATCTTTCAAAACAAAAACAAAAAACCCCTAACAGAGTGCTCTCTGATGCCCTAATGTAAATGATCCTCCTGGGACAGAGCTATTTCTTGTTGGCGACTCTAGGAAGTGGGGGCAGGGTATTTGTTCCAGGACCTGCCTGTTTTCAAAGTGTAGGGCATGCCCTCCAGAGGCAACATCTACTTGGAGAACAAGAATCACTTACCGATTGTTTCCTATACGTGCATTGTCCCATTACTCCTCACCTCAACCCTGTTATCTCCATCTTATAGGTGAGTGAACTGAGGCTTAGAGAAGTTAAGAAACTCGTCCATGACACAGCTAGTAAACAGTGGAATCTGGGAAACCTGACCCTGGCATCTGCGTTCTTAACCGTTTCTCCATATTGCCCCTCATGTGCTGGTACCTTACAATGAGCTTCACAAAGTGACCGTTCCAGTAACACCACACAGGCTAGACAAACTCTTGATTCAAAGGAGACTAGAATGTGGGGGGTGGGGTAATATATAGATTATTGTCTGTAAGTTGATTTTGTCAGAAATGGTAAATGTGAAGGAAGGCCAAGTACTTTTTAAGAAAAAGTATGTTTCCCTTGTTTTTGAATGTATGCAGTCTTAACAGGCTATTTGAAGGAGACTGGGACAGTGCAGGTAGAGACAGGAGGCAGGGTCTGGAATCACACGATCTCTTCTTCATAGTAAAAAGCTATCTCAGGGGCCCCAGGGTGGCTCAGTCGGTTAAAGCATCCCGACTCCTGATTTTGGCTCAGGTCATGATCTCACAGTTGTGAGATTGAGCCTGCAAGCCCCACGTCAGGCTCTGTGCTGGGTGTGGAACCTGCTTGAGATTCTCTCCCTCTGCCTCTGCCCCACCCTCGTTTGTGCTCACTATCTTTCAAAAAAAAAAAAAAAAAAAGCCATCTCAGTAACAGACTCCTGCTCTAGAGGCTAACCAGTCTGAATTAGACATAAGGATATTCTCCTAGCTAGATCTTTAACTTCCAAGTTTTACACATTTTCTGAAGGAATAATAGGAGGGAAAGGAAGAAATCCTCAACTAAACACTGACATGAAAACCTAGAACAATCGGTCAGTCGGTGCCAGCAGTGATTCTGGTTAGGTCTACAAAGAGCCTCACGAGCAAATGAGGTCCCCAATGTTAAGATTGTGTCCATAGCC